ACACATACAAGATAAAAAAATAAAAAAAATAAAACTAACTTTATTTTATCTTTATGAAAATTCATGAAATTTGGTCATTTTTTCAGCAAAAATAAGTTTAGGTGAAGAGGTGAGATCTCACCCGTTTTCTCACCCGTTTTCTCACCTGTTTTTTCACAAGCGTTTTACATGAATGTACGATGTATATTTGAAATCCTAAACAATTTCGTAGCTTCTATTTCTTCTTTTAGTACATCGAATGTTTTAATCATGCCGAAAGTCTCTTTATATTTCTTCTTGACGTCAGACAGAAGGAAATCTTCTGCTGTTGGATAGTTTTTATTAAGAAATGTCAACATATCCATTTTATCTTCTGCTGGCTTTCTTCTTTCTTTAAGTCTGCATAGTCGTTTCGCATTCTTTCTATCCTTTGACTGAGTAGTTATATTTTCTTATTGCTGCTTTACATTTTGAACATTTGCGGCATCATTTTTGCGTTATACATTGAAAAAAACCGCTAGAACAACTAAGGTCAATGGTTTTCTTTAACTCAAAAGCTGCTGGTTTATCTGTTCATCCATACTTTACCTCTTCTATCTTTATCTCTTATCTGCCATACACATTCTGCAATTAATGAAACAAAGTTGTTGTATGTCTTAAATTCTTCGGATTTGTAAAGGTCAGAAATATTTTTATAAACCATGTCGCAATCTTTGTCCATAACTTTATGGTTGCAATGATATCCTAGAAACTCATAGTTTACCTTTCGTATGAACTTCTTTATTTCTACTGAGTCAGTTGCTTTGACTTCAATTTCGTCAAATTCGGGAATGGTTAGTTTTTGTTGCTGAATTTCAGGTAGTTTAGGTAAATGGTCGATGAGGTCCTGCATGTCATAAAGATATTCTTCATTTTCTTCATCCTGTGCGGTACAGTCTAAATTACTTGTTAACAGTTCTTGCTTTATCTTCTGGATTTTTGTTTCGAAAGTATATGAAGAAGGAATGAAGTTTTTCATCTCTACCAACATTGACGTAGGATTCATGACTAGCGAGTTTGGTGCTGTAGTTGTGGCTTGAATTGTTGTTGTGCCGATTGTTGAAATCATATCTTTTATACAAAATAAAAAAAATAAATAAAAATAAAACTAACTTTATTTTTTCTATCTTAAGGAAATTCATGAAAATTCGTGAGGGTGAGAAAACGGGTGAGAAAACGGGTGAGATCTCACCTCTTCACCTAAAATATATTTTTGGTGTAAATTTATGACAAAAATAAATGGTACCATTAATGATATCATGACTGTTCTCATTCATGTCTGATTTACATCTAATGAAAAAGTTTAGAAGAATTTTCTTATTCTTTCTGGCTTATTTTTGTCTTTCCAGTACTCCCGCTCTAATGGTCCCAGATGTGTTGGCTTTGACTCTCTCAAGTTCTTAGATGGTATAACATCTTCAACGCCTCCTTCATATCTTACTTTATAAGTGTCATCGTTTATGTTGTAGCCAAGATTTCAATAACCACTCCTCGCTTTGCTTCGTCAATGGTTTCAGCAAGTTTGCCATTACTACTTTCAACTAATTTATATGTCGAGGGTAAAACGCAATAAGTCATCAGTAGCTTTTATAAGATATCCATTACCTGCGTAGAGTCTACGAATATAATAGTTTCTACTTAACCTTAAACGTTTCTTTGTCAACGGTTTGTCGTCAAGAACTACACGAACTTTTGTACCAGGAATGAGGGTAAATTGTGTTGAATTTCTGATATTTTGTGTTTGGCTTCGGTTCTTTTGTATATACTTTTCTTCTTGTTGTTGTGTCATTGAATTTGGTGTATGTCCTGTTGTAGAAATGTGTTGAGGAATTATATACTTCGAGAAAATGTTTCATTGTTTCTTCGGTAAAGTCTCGCTCTTGGTTTAAATCTCTGAGCGTTCTTATGAAGCGGTTTTATGATGCCGAGTATGTTATGTTATGGTCTTCAGTAGTGTAGTGAGTTATGTTATGCTTAATGAGAAAATCTGTGATTTCATTGCTGAGGTATGCACTGTCTTGGTCTGATGTAAAGTACTTGGGCTATGTTCTGCTACAAACTTGATTGCTTTACAAAAGCCATGACTGATCTTCATCCAATTTGTTTAATCGAACTTAATGAAGTAATTTCTGCATATCTCCTGCATGTATTTGGAAACGAGAGGATAAGACAACTCACCAAGGTTTCCAGACGCCAGATCCAAAGACTTGAATCAACTGCAGGAGTAATCCTAAGCTTTGAAGAAGGATTAACCAATAAGAAAGATGTCATTGACTCCAAGCGTGAAAGCCTTGCTGCTTTCTTACGCAAACACCCATGGGTCGATGTTGATCTCCAAACTCCTTACCAAGGACTCGTTGAAACCTTCACGACCTACAGACAGCTCCTTGACAGACCTGAGCAGAACCTTCTGGTCGAACGTGATGGCACATTAAGCCCTACAGACGAGTCAATCCAGAGAGAAGAAGCTCAAGAGTAAAAATCTGACATTTATACTTTACATGACATTTTTTTCATGAGTGTTCACGTTAAGATCAATGATGAAAACATGACTTCATGGGAAGATATCATTGATGACATAGAGAATGACCTTGATGAAAACATGATGGGAGCTCAAACGTCAGTTAAGGTCAAACTTGGTGAAGTTCAAGAAAAGATCTCCGAGATCAATGCAAAAATATCTGCTCTTACAGAGGTTGACGTTTATTACAGAAGCTTGGAGAGAACTTTAAGCAAACTTGAACGTCAGAACCAAAGTCTCATAGTTGTGCTCCAGAAACTCAGTCTCATGCGTAAAGCATATAATGACTACCTACATGTAAGAGACTTACCTTCTTATTCTACTCCAGATCTCGACTTTTCCGATATAAGTCCAATCCTTATTGATACAACACTTACGATAGCAGGGATGCTTCCTACATATCCAGAATATGATAACTTACCTCAGCTCTTCGAGTATCTCAAGAAAAAGTTCATGATCTTATTATGCGAGACCATGAAAAGACGTCAAAATACCAGAACAGAACGAGAACAGAGCTTACTAATAGACTTATTATATAATACTAAAGAAATAAAGGAGTTTTTATTCTAACTTTGGTATTTTTGGGAAGAACTGATCTGGATCATATTTGTCAACCACAGGTTTTGGTATCAAAAGTCTCTCTGGTTCTTGGACGGCTGGTACTGGAAATGGTTCCTTTGGTTTCCTAGCTTTTGGGAGATCTAAAAATTTTCTTGGTCTCTTTCTTTTGTGTAAGTGTTGTCCATTTTTATCGACAACGAATGTGAGCTTTCCGTCGTCAAAGATGAATGTCGTCGCTTCTTCAGTTCCCTCATCAACTATTATCTTCTTGATCTTTCTCTTCTCCATTAACAGAAAAAGTGACATATATTACTTCATTTTTTCTGAGTGTTAGGATTAATTAAACCTCTATCTATAACATGCTTTCTCATAGAAAACTTCTCTCCATATCTTTTTGTCAATATCTCTAAAGTTCTTCTGTATAAGATTTATCACTACTGAAGTAAATAGATGGATAATTAAGGACATCAAAGGTTTCTACAGTATCTTTAAGAGTCCATTCATCTCCATACTGTATAGAATAAGTATGGAAGTATGGAGGATCACATATAAAGAAAACATTGGGAAGATCTTTATACTCATTGAAGAGTATTCTCCAATCTTTATGAACAATAGTTAAACCTTCAAGATAGTCATCTATGTTTTCACCAAATAAGTTAGTATATCTGAGGTATAACACTTTCTTCATTAATGTGTCAAGATCATAGTATTTGTATGCTCCAGAATAGAGAAGACGTGAACATAATGTATCCCAGTCTATGTATGGAGCTTTACTTATAACTTCTCTGACGATCTCTTTCTGATCAGTAGGAATTTTCTCATCTGGCTTAACATTTATTCTCTCCTTAAGTTCCTTAAGTATTTCATTCGTGTCATGAATGTGTTTCAGTCTATCAACGTAGTTATCATAGTCGTTAGCTATGATCGTTGCTTTTGGGAACATAAT